AGTCGGTTGAGCGTCCGACTTCGGCTCAGGTCACGATCTCGCAGTCCGTGAGTTCGAGCCCCGCGTCGGGCTCTGGGCTGATGGCTCAGAGCCTGGAGCCTGCTTCCGATTCTGTGTCTCCCTCTCTCTCTGCCCCTCCCCCGTTCATGCTCTGTCTCTCTCTGTCTCAAAAATAAATAAATGTTAAAAAAAATTTTTTTTAAGTAAATACATGTAGCTATTTCAGAGAAAGAGCCAGAGATGGGCATTTTTGTTTGTTCTCTCTGCACTGAGCCCTGGGGTGATAGCTAGTTAAGAATTTTTTGTTTGTTTGCTTACCCTGCCATTGCATCTGTGAACACAAGCTCTGGTGGCTTTCAGAACCAGGTTATCAAGAGATGTATCCTTTGAGGGCAAGGTCCAAAAGCTGGGGTCCCAGACCTGTGCATAAGCTCCTTTCTTGGAGACACTGATGACCTGGTAGGACAGAGGGACAGTGTAAAGATGGTACCCACCGGCCTCCCTGATCTCTGGAGAGGATTGCATTCAACCTCTAGATGTGTATTTATTTAGAAGTTGGCCCTTCAGGCCACAGCTTTGAAGATAAAGTAATTGGCCTTTTCTACAGAAAGATGGTACCTCAGTCTTCTTTGTCTCTGCTGCCTTAGGGGGTAGTTGATTAAGAATGGCTTCTCAGATTTCTCCATTTGCCTCTGGGTGTTGTATGTAAGTGATGAATCACTGAATTCTCCTGAACCTAATATTGCACTGTATGTTAACTAACTAGGATTTACATAAAAGTTTGAAAAGGAAAAATAAATAAAAGTAAAATATATTTTATAGATAATAAGGGAAATTTTATTGTGAACTGGACGATACCAAATTTTGTCAAGTATGGTTATGGTACTATGGCTATATCAAAGGTCCATATTATTAGAGATGCCAACTAAAGTATGGGAGGTACAAAATTATATGATTACTGAAATTTGCTTTTAAAAGAAAAAAGAAATAGAGGCTTATGTGGGAAATTTTGATAATTATTAAATCTGAGTGAAGGATAAAAAATAAAACTGTTTTTCCATTTGTTACAGTCCTGTAGGATCAATGAATGTAGGCACTGCTGGCAGAAAGTTCAAGGGGTGACCCTTGGGCAGTAGCCACAAAAACCATGGTGCCCCTTGTATCTTTCATGGAGATAACAGCAAGCTGGAAGGCAGAGGGAAGTGTCTATGTGGCACCCTCCAGCCTCTTCAGTCTTTGCGGAGTATTTCAGTAGGCCTCTAGATGTGTGTTAGGTTAGATGCCTGCCCTTCAGACTGAAACTTTAAGCAAATAGGCCTGTTTCACAGAAAGACTGGGTATTTCGGGTACCCCTGCACCAGACCCTGGAATATAGGCACAGTGAACCCACTGTTTTTCAGTTTGCTATAACCTTGTGGATCTTGTGGATACAAGCCCTATTGGCTTTCAAAACTAGGTATTTGGGGGGGTTCATCTCTCAGGTGCAGGTCTTAGGTAGTGGAGTGCCGGATGTGGTGTTCAAACCCTCCACTTCTCAGAAAGAAGCTCATAGTTGTGAGCTTCCCAATCGTGGGTTACTGTCCCTAGGGTGAGATTTATATTGAGATTATGTCTGAGCCTACCCTACTCATTTAGATGTGAGGGTTTGTGTGTGTGTGTGTGTGTGTGTGTGTGTGTGTGTGTGTGTGTTTTGTTGTTTGCCTGATACATAGGAATTGTTCAAGTACTTTTGGATTTCTTTCAGAGGGAATTGTCCCATATGTAGCTGTCGATTAGGTGTGACCATGGGAGGAGGTGAATTCAGGATCCTCCTACATTCCATCTTGAATCAGAACCTTGTATATATCATTTTAATTGATTTTTGGTGTATAAATGTCTGCTTACAAATGTCTTGCTCCTCTTTAGAATGTAATTTCCAATAGGGCATGGGCTGGCTTGTTCACTGTTCAAGCTCTGGTCTTGGGCACATGGTAGGCACTTAATAAAAATTGTTTGAATGAGTGAGTCAATATATCCCTCCTTTAAATGGTTTCATTGAGGATGAGGATATTCTTTTATTTCTTGGTTATCTCCAAGGACACAAGAAATGTTTGTGATTCTAATGTTTTATTTTATTCAGCCATTTTCATTGAGCATGTACTACATGTCAAACACTGTGGTAGGTACTGAGGATACAACAGTGTATAAAACTGAGAAAACTCCTGTATTCACAGACATTAGTGAGATGAAACGGACAATAAATATAATAAAAAGTAAATTATTTGAGATTTTACTGATACTGCAGTGGAATTAACATCCCTCTTTACTTCCTGTTTTCTGAAGAACAAGGTGTTGTACCTCTTCTGGAATAAAATCATAGGTGGTCCTAAGGGAGGATCTGCTGGGAGGACAGCAGGGAGACAAATTGACTCCCCTCCTGGAAGAAACTGGACTGTGTTAATTAGAGAGTGGTAACTAAACCTCTAGAAAAGCGTGAGAAAGAGATAAGGACAAGAAAGGGACAGGGCAAAGAGATTGTTGCTATAAGGCAGAGTTGCCTGCCGCTAAGCTGCCTGCCCTGTCATTCTGCAGTCTTCCTCTGGCTGCTTTCACCACGTCCCTGTCCGTCCCAACCTTGAAAGCCTGTCACGATGTTTGCTAGAAAGGTTTTGAATGACCCTGAACTAACCGTTGCCAAGGTATCTCTACTTACTAAAAGCAGGAATAATAAATCTGCCAGTGTGCTTTCTCCTTCCATTTCAAGACATGTAACTGCATTCAGAGCAAGGGGTAAAGAGAGTTACTGAGTGTAAAAATAGGCTTGTGCATCAAAAAAAAAAAAAAAAAAATATTTTTTTTTGTAAATAAATGCATCATCTCATCGGATCCTTTTAAGGCCACTGTGAGTTGATTAAAGTGAGGATTACAAAGTGTGCCCATATACCCCCAGTTAACCCTTCTTTTGTCCCAGCATCCCATTTGCCTTAGCATTTGTCCTGGATTTTTTTTTATGGACTTAATTTTTTTAGAGCAGCTTCAGGTTCACAGCAAAATTAAATGGAAGGTATAGAGATTTCTCCTATCCCCCCTGCCACCATATATGCCCTGCCTCCCTGACTATCCACACCCCCCACCGGAGTGGTACCTTTGTTACCATGGGAGAAGCTACATTGATGTATCATCACTCAAAGCCCGTAGTTGGCATTAGAGTTCACATTCAGTGTTGTATATTCTGTGCATATTACATGCATAGTAACATGTATCTACCATGATAGTGAAGAGTTTCAGGGCCTTGGAAATCCTCTGTGCCCTGCCTATTCGTTCCTCTGTTCTGGACTTTTCATTTTGTAATGCAGTGTCACTATGATTTTATCTTTGAAAATATTTTGATAGAACTTTTTATTTTAACATGGTAAAGCTGCTTTCTTGGGGAAAAAAATAAACATTTTGAAGTATGTAAATTTAATTTGACTTTCAAAGTAGTCACAATTTGGGTGATAAATTACATGGTCTCCTTAATTATAGTCTGCATTTAATGCAGAGAAAACTGGTCTCCAGAGAGAAAGGGACCCTCCTGGTGTGTCTGGCCAATCAAGTGTAGAGCAGGACTAAAGACCTGTGCTCTGACTTCTGGTACTTTCTACGCCGAAGACAGGAAGCCCACTAGGGAGACGACTCAGATCTCAAAGCTTACCACATCCCTGCCTTATTTACAGTACTTATGAAAGTGGGATTCTATCTGTATTTCTAATTCAGACCTGAGAAAACTCACGAAGTGAATAAATAATGTACCTGGTAAGCAACAAAACTGACAAGAAGTTCAAGAGATCACAAATCAGACAGACAAATAAAGACCTGCCTGGAGAGTATGAAGTACTCCTGAGGTGGAAGATTGTGTTTCAAAGAAGTACTGTGCCTTTAGGGAGCATTGTATAAAATGTTAAGTGGGGGAAGAATAACATCTTCACTGACAAATGTTTGATGGTATTTTGAGACTGAAATCAGTTTCATTTGCATATTTCTGGGACATGGTACATCTGTTTATCCAGCAAAATGAGTCTAGGTTCTGATCATAGTAAACTTAACCGATATGACAATTAGCCATTCTGGAGTATTACCCACATAGAATTTTAACATAGCGTTAGGGGCGCCTGGGTGGCTCAGTCGGTGAAGCTGTCCGACTTTGGCTCATGTTATGATCTCGCAGCTCATGAGTTTGAGCCCCGCATGGGGCTCTGTGCGGACAGCTCAGAGCCTGGGGCCTGCTTCTTTGTCTCCCTCTCTCTCTGCCCCTCCCCCACTGGTGCATGCTCGTTTGCGTGCGCGCGCGCTGTCTCTCTTTCTCTCACTCTCTCTCTCAAAACTAAAACTAAACATTAAAATTTTTTTTGTTTTTAACTTTTAATACAGTGTTAGCATCCTAAAGACTGAAGTGACTGTTAACTTTTCCGTAGTAAATCAGAAGTACATTATTTCAAAAAGGGATAGGTTTTCATAAAGACCTATTTCTTCTAATACTCACTTTAAGATGTAGTATTTCACATGCATCCTGATATTAAAACACATGGTTATCCTAAGTTAGACGGGAAAGAGTGACTACTCATGTGTAAAATCCAGATGGTGAGGGGTAAGGAAATGGTAAATAATACAGGATGGTGTGTGGTGTTGGTGTTTCTCCTTCAGGAGTTTTTAAGATGTGTTACATCAGATGCTATCCTGGTGAAAGGACATGTAGGTGTTTTCCTTTCTTCGTCAATGGTGTGAATACACGCTTTCATTTTATTTAATTGCTTGTTTCCCTCAGGCCTCTCCATCCGGAGCGTGTGCTGGAAAGCAGACCGCCTCCTAGCAGGGACCCAGGACAGTGAGATATTTGAAGTGATTGTGCGCGAACGAGACAAGCCAATGCTGATCCTGCAAGGCCACTGTGAGGGGGAGCTCTGGGCTCTGGCCCTGCACCCCAAGAAGCCCCTGGCTGTGACGGGAAGTGACGATCGCTCTGTCAGGTGAGGCCTTGGCATTGGCGGTCGTCAGGCACTGACTGCCTTGGGACAACAGAGTCACTGTGCCCAAATTTGCTTGTTACGCAAGAGACGGATAAACCACAGTGTGGAACCACACGTGTTCCAAACAGAACGTTGAGACACTGAGTCCAACCACACTTGGCTTCTTAGCATTTTGTTGTTGCCGCCTTTCTCTGGCTGTATCTTAAGTTGTGAAAGTGCTCTGAGTGAGTGAAAATACACTGCTCCTGGTTAGATAGGCTCCCAGTTCTCTTTCAATCAAAGATAAGAGCTCAGCACATTCATCTGTGCTAAGATCATATTTGCCCCTCATATGCTGGGTCATCTGCAGGGGACTGCACACGGCATTTCCGTTTTCTCCTACCTTCATCTCCACTGGTGAATTCATGAACTCGTCTTCAAAAGAACTTAAGTTCTGATTTTCAGAGTTGCCTTCAGTATGTGAGTAAACAGTTCTTTCTTTGCAAATTCTCGAATGGAATTTTGGACATTGTCCTCAAATCAAAGGAAAGTGCTGGTTCCTGAGAAAATAGGCAATTTTATTAGGGCCTCAAGGATTCTTGCTGTGGATCATTTGTTATTCTTTGAGAGCACAGCATTGCATAAAATGAGCAATACGAGGACACCTCTGATGTCCTTGTGACTGTTGAAGGACTGAACACAGGGTTTAGAAGTGTGTGATGAAGTTTGTTACACTGACTTCAATATTTTTGTATTTACTACTGACCTTTAAATGTGCCCAATGACAAGCAGGCCAGAAAGAGTGTATGCCGGTGGGAGGGAGAGGCTGGTCCATCAGTTTGTTGATTGATTACTGCTTCTGGGCTCTAGTAGCTAAATTAGAATTTTGTAGACTAGAAGCAGGTTCCTGCTTTTCCCTTGCTCTTACTCTGTATGTCTGTGAATCTGATCAAGACACGGTGTGCTCATTACTGAGGTATAATTTTAAAAGTAAATCCATTTTGTGATCTTTACCAGGCCCTGAAGCCCCATCAATCTAAAGATCAGTGAAACAGTGTGTCTCCATGTGGCATCAATGTTTATTTGGCTTAAGTTTCTCTTTACCCAACTTTCTCCTCTCTTCCTTTTCCTTCCTTTACTCTGAGCTTTCCCCGAACAGGCAAAATGTTACCACCAACTTACTCAAACACCTGAGATACTCGATTTATATTTATCCAGGTAGAAATGATTTCAAGAAAGTCTTTGGCTTTTGTATTTTGACAAATTAGTTGAGTCTCAAAATTGCAAACATCTCCAAGGAGCCCTGGCTGTCAGAATTTGTCTTATTCCTCTTAACCATTAATTTGGCTCAAATGACAAATGTTATTTTACACAGAGTATTGAAATTTAAGAAGGGTCTGACTCCTAATTTCTTGAGCAAGATCAGCTTAGTGACTTTATAGGATGGTACAGTCTACTGGGGAGTGATGGTTTCTGCATGCTAGTAAAGCAAAGCTTACATTGCTTAAAATAGTACAAGGCTAAAAGCAGCATGAGATTATGAATAATGGACGAGGTATTGAAAGACTACCATGAGCTTTAGGCTGAACAGTGCAAGCTGCCTAAGGGATCAGTAAGCTCTTCACTGTGCAACTCTCCATTTTAAGGAGCATGCCCCCGTCCGTCCTGATGGCAGAATGCATTTAGGGAAACTGCACCACATGTGACTTATTCTTGCTTCCCTATGGCGGAACTCGAGATTCTCTGTCCCCTCTGGCAGATACTAATGTTTGTATGTTAAGAGAAGCCTGTCTTAAGAGTACTAACAGATAGAGGTCAGTTACCCAATCACAACTGACATTTAAATGCTTATTTGCATCTTCAAATACCTAGTATGGACTAGGTTCACTCAGTCTGAGGTGCCTGGATTAGGTGTTCCAGGAGCTGCTGCAAACTGTGTTAGGGGCACGTGCCCCTTGACCTCCATTTCTCCAGCAGTAGCTGTGCCCATCAGCCGGGGGCACTTAAAGTATCTGCCTCAACCAGGGCGAGTGGATCTATCTGCAGTGGGACACCCAGAGGCCTTGTGAAGCATGACAGCAGGTGACTGTAGACAGATACTCTTTCTTGCCAGGGAGGCCAATAAATGTAATGTGTGTTTCCATTTATCTGCACTTAAATAACACAGTTATTAGAAGGACACTCATATTATTTTAAACAAACTAACAATAACACCTAGTAGTACTTCTTTTTCTCTAAATGTTATTAACAATTCTTGGTATAAATAAAGAACAATGTTTAATTTCCAAAGAGAATAGCAAGATGTTGTGTGAAGTAGTGTTTAAAATGTCTTTATTTGATTAATCTCAAAATCTTTGGAAATGGTTTTCTGGTCTTAGAGTTCTTGCTGGGGATTTCAAATGGTGCAAATGACCCAATGATAATCTAAACACCTTCTTAGATTGCCAGACATGCCGTGAGGAAGGACACTAGTATGAAATTAGTGCGTCCTGTGTTGTCATCATCATCGGAGTGGTGAACAGCCTTCCAGCCTAGGGCTGGCTGATGGCTGAGAAACTGGTTTTGTTTTTACTTTGTCCTTGTACTTAGGCTATGGAGCCTGGCTGACCATGCCTTGATCGCCCGCTGTAACATGGAGGAAGCAGTTCGCAGTGTGGCCTTCAGCCCGGATGGATCTCAGCTGGCCCTGGGCATGAAGGACGGCTCTTTCATTGTTCTCCGAGTCAGGCACGTGCTGCTAGGGAAAATGATATCAGAAATGCTCTTGTGTTAAACTAGTTCTCCTGGTCACAATGTATGCCTGGACTTTAGGAAAAATGCATTTATTCTTTCAAGTAGGAACATTCTAGATTCAGTCACCAGATCTGTAATTCCCAAATCCAAACACTCTGAAAATCCACCGTTCTTTGGCAACTTGACAGCACGTCTTGACCCAATGAACTGATCTGAGACTGTTTATTGCCTATTAATCTCCTAGTAGGAATAATTCTCTATAATGTGATTCACTACAAAAATATTAATGTTTTTAATATGGGGTGTTGCCCTAGCTCCTGTGGAGGGTATTACATAATATATTGTATATGAACCTTTCTAAAATCCACTGAATAATGAACTCCTAAGCTCATCTGGTCCCAAGGGGGTTTGGGCTTATAGGAAGCCAAGAAAAGAGAAAGAAATGAGAAAGCAGTCTCTAGCAGTGCCAGATTTTTAGAGGTGAGCTTGAGTCAAAATTTCTTCCACCTATAATGAAAAATAAAATGGAATATTTCATATTTATTAACACGCTATATTTACTGGACAAAAATTATGACCCACACTTGTAATTTCTCTAAATAACACTGGTTGTTTTTTAAGGCTTCTACAATTTGTGATTACAGAAAGAAAATGCAGCTGTAAATTAGATACTGCATGTTTTGCACATAGAAAATTCTATATAGGTTTGAAAAATGATCTTGGCACAGTTTATTACACTAAATTCTCCTTACCAACCACACATAACTTAATGCTGGGTTGATGGGCAACGTTTTCTTTCTCTGCTTAGTGATGGTATGGAAAGATGGCCAGTTACCAGATTTTCTTTTCTTTTTGATGGATTTCCCAAGCCAAAACAAACAAAAATCCAAAAAACCTATTTGATGATATTAGAGTAAACATTATATTATATAATATATTGCTATTAATAAGTGATAGCTGGTGAGAGGAATTACCACATAGAAGCACATATTTGCCATCATGTATGCACTGATTGTGTTGGCAGTGGGTGAAGTCTTCGGTGCTGGCCTAGGAGACTGCTAGCCACAATTCTGTCTCATGGTGGCAGCTTTCAAATGCAGGCAGCATTTCTTACCAGAACCTGATCGGAAAGGATACAAAATATTCCAGTGACATGACGTATGCATTGTTGACTTTCCTGGTAACAATTAAATAATGACATAAGAATTTAATATTTAAAAAGAAATTTTCCTCTCATGCTTTTTGGACTTGCTCTTTTTTGCAACAGTAAGCAAGCTTCACAGCCGCTGGTTACTTGATCTTAAAGTATAAAAAAGATGGTTGATGTTTATGCTACCCTTGGTGGACGTTTACCTTTCTCCAGGGCATGTTTTGAAAACAATTTTACAAACCCCAAATTTTTGAAGCACAAGGTTTTAGGGGAAAATAACAATTAAACATGAAAGCAAATATGCATTTCATTAAATTTTGTTTTGTTTTGTTTTTACTTTGGAAGCCCAGATAGTATTTAAAATGTTGGTTAATTTTGCCTAAATTGGCCAGAAACTAAGTAAATAGTTTTATATTTTTCCCCAAAAGTTATTCCTTTAATTCTTACACGTGTTCTCTCTCTTTTGAAACATTTTTTTCTGACATACAAATTTTAAAACATGGCTTGGGGTTCCTATTTCTAGATTTGCTGCTTATCACTTTTTATTGCTGGTTTTTATTCTTATAGAGATATGACAGAAGTGGTTCATATCAAAGATCGAAAAGAAGTCATTCATGAAATGAAATTTTCTCCAGATGGCTCTTACCTCGCGGTGGGATCCAATGATGGCCCAGTGGACGTGTATGCCGTTGCCCAGCGGTATAAGAAAATTGGAGAATGCAGCAAGTCACTTAGTTTCATCACACACATTGACTGGTCTTTGGATAGCAAATACTTGCAGACCAATGACGGCGCGGGAGAACGCCTGTTCTACAAGATGCCATGTGAGTCACTCAGGCCCTGGATGGTGGTGAAAATCAAAACTTCGAACCAGAGTCAGCAAATGTATGAGAATGTCATCATGACCTCAGGGCAAGGAATGTTTTCAGAAACACGAGCCCCCAAATCTCACACTCCCAAAGAAAAGATAACTAAATTGGAACACGTTAAAATTTTAAAAAATACTGCACAGTGAAAGAGATCATGAAAACATGAGGCGCAGACTGGACGTAAATACTTGAAATGGTTATAATGGGCAAAAGATATATACTTAGAAATTAAAAGAATGCCTAAAGATAAGTGAAAGGAAAAATAGCCTAGAAAAATACTAAAACAAACGCTAAATATTTGAGGATCACAGTCCTTATTTACTATGATGATTTTATTCCAAAATCTGTGTTCTTCATAATTGGAAGCCCTTAAGGTATTATTTGGTGAAATATGCTAATTAGGATTTAAAAAACACAATTTCTATTTGTGACCTTCGCTGTCTCTTTTAGAAGAGATTCATCAGACTTTGATAACATTCAGTAACATTTAGTTTGCAATACTAAAATGGTAGAAATAAAAGACAAGTTTCTGTATTGTAATCTGTGACTAATGATTTTTTAATGTAAGTGGAAAAGTATAATATTTAACATGAATCTTGTCCTCAAGTAATTATATTTCATCTTAAAATTTTTATTGAATAATTAATTTATATGTAAAATAATATATACCATCTAATGTAACTTCAGCTTTTTAGAGTTCTCTGCCCTGTCAAATCATTAGCACACCATTACTAGGAACATATTTCTGTGTGTCTACTTTCTTTGCTTGAAATTATTTCATATATATTTTCTGTATGTGAAAAATTAAGGAATACACATTTCTCACCTGCAGTAACAAAGTAAAATCCTCTTAGTGATAATATCACAATTTGCTATCTCATTCTCCCGTCAGTGAGCATTTAGGCTTATTTCCTGTTTCTTTGCTGGTACAGACCGTGCATCTCGAAATATCTTGGTACAGGTGGGATTTTCTCTTCTGAGTCACTTCCTTGGACAATATTCTCCAAAGGGGGAATGCTGGGTCAAGGACTATGTTCTGTCAACTCTCTCATTTTATGGTCATCTTAATGAATTTTTATGTCATGCTGTTCTAGTCCAGAATTTCTGCATGCCAGTTTGGCAGTGCACCAGTAACGCATAAGAGCACCTACTCTCACAGATGATTCTTTATTTGAAAATATTTATTTTTGAAGAAGAAATTCTGAGGTGGTACACTAAATTGTCTTGATTTTAAATTTTAAAACTGTGTATGGCTGGACATTTTCCCAAGCATTTCTGTATCAGTGTGGTTCTGCCTTTGCATGCCCTCTGGGGACATCCCTCACTTGCTTTTGGTACAAGCCGGGAGTTGCCACACATTTGAGAACATATCGAGCACACTGTCAAGGCTATTTTCCCCAACCACTTACAGTTTTCATTGTCTAATGCTTTTAAATTTAAAATCCATTAACTTTTCATACTAATTTTTTGAGCCTAAATTTTAAAAAATCACTTCTATGGTTCCTTGAATTATGAAAGGTAGAAGTCCAGAATAAACTTCTTAGAAATCAGGCAAAATGTTGGTGACTAAATGTGATAACATACGATTGCATAAAAGTCAATATGACTTTCTTTTTTTTTTAATTTTTTTTTCAACGTTTATTTATTTTTGGGACAGAGAGAGACAGAGCATGAACGGGGGAGGGGCAGAGAGAGAGGGAGACACAGAATCGGAAACAGGCTCCAGGCTCTGAGCCATCAGCCCAGAGCCCGACGCGGGGCTCGAACTCACGGACCGCGAGATTGTGACCTGGCTGAAGTCGGACGCCTAACCGACTGTGCCACCCAGGTGCCCCAAAAGTCAATATGACTTTCAATAATCAAAGCATACGAGCTGTATAGTAGTTTCAGATGTTACATTGAGTACAGTGATCATTTTCTTTCTTGTCTCTGTATCTGAGTTTTGATCATACACTTTCTTTAAACCCTGCTGGAAGAAGAAAAAAATCATAAATTTGGTAAAGAGATTAGAATCTACAGTTTCCTTGATTTATGGAAGTTTTTTTTTTAAACCCTCCATATAGACCTCTATATGGAAAAGGAATAAAACAAATTAGAATGTACTTTTTATTTAAATGTAACATTATGGGGGCGCCTGGGTGGCTCAGTCGGTTAAGCGGCTGACTTCAGCCCAGGTCATGATCTCGCGGTCCCTGAGTTCGAGCCCCGCGTCGGGCTCTGTGCTGACAGCTCGGAGCCTGGAGCCTGTTTCGGATTCTGTGTCTCCTTCTCTCTGACCCTCCCCCGTTCATGCTCTGTCTCTCTCTGTCTCAGAAATAAATAGACGTTAAAAAATTTTAAAAATAAATAAATAAATAAATGTAACATTATGTTGCCATGTATTGATTATTTTCAGCTGGGAAGCCTTTAACAAGTAAAGAAGAAATCAAAGGGATTCCCTGGGCCTCCTGGACATGTGTGAAAGGCCCCGAAGTGAGTGGAATTTGGCCTAAATACACCGATGTCACTGACATCAATTCGGTGGATGCAAATTACAACAGCTCAGTGCTGGTGTCTGGAGATGATTTTGGACTGGTTAAATTGTTTAAATTTCCTTGTCTCAAGAAAGGTAAGGCCAAAAGAGACATTTCATTGAATAAATATTTAATCTAGAAGGTGTACACAGTGTAAACCAGACTATTTGATATTCTAAAATTACTAATTTAAGGCAGAATTTGTTCAGTTATTACTAACCAGTTTGTAATTCATAAGCTTCATGTTTTACATTTTAACCAAATCATAGTTTGTTTTGTTTTTATTTATGTGAATAAATACTCATAATTTAAATCACATATTACATTAAAATATTGTAATTAAAATTCTCTTAGGCTCTGCTAATTGTGCTTATACATGGAAAGCAAAGCAAAATCTTTTTAGATAAAATCTAAAAGTGAATACTCTGGTGATAGCACAATTCGTGGACTGCTTGTTGTAGTGCTTATTTTGCAAACCCAATTTACATAACTGGTGAAATTTTTGAGAGTGAAGATTGGTTCAAAAGAACTCTTCCTCCTCTCACATTTTGTTGTTTTGTCTTACTGTTGTTAAAATGTTGTCGCTTTAATTTTTGTTGCACCTTTAGACTTTGTGGAATGTGACTGAGTTAACCGTGTAATGACCCTGTCTTCTTCTTCCTTAAAAAGTTTAGACACAGGCTTTTCTGAGACTCCCCACTAGCACCCTGAAAATCAGATGTTTGGAAAGTAATCATCAGGGACGTGTTATTGCTTGAAAATTCATTCACTTGAACAATTTTTAAATTAAGAAAGGGAAGGGATGGAAAAATGTAATCAGAAAGTCATTTTCGGCTAACTGGCAGTTTTGAAGCACCAACAGTTATGGTAGAGAATTGAACATAAAACGCACAGCAAACCATCATTTACGCTTGACAGCATGGCCATCAGTTTAAAATGCTTGAGGCACAAAATTACCTCCCGTGCCTAATTCACACTCTCCTCTCCCTAACGGGCTTTTTGAGTAATAGGGTGTGTCCTATTGGATTGAGTAATGTACTTGCAGAACGTGAGTTAGGCAACCGGTCTGGGAACTGAGAAGAAACATACATCCCTGAGGCCAGAAACAATACTGTTGGCCTCACATGTGAAGACTAGGAAAGAAGGTAACTCACCCAGAATTGTTATTTCCTGCGTATTCCCAAGCCTTGTAGAGTGGATTTGGGTCTAGAAATGGAGATCCTGAATGTATTGATAAGAATGGGGAAAGGGGGGTGGGAGGCGATGAATAGTGCTGCCTGTCCAAACAAGACCCCCTGATGGGTAAACTGACCCTGAGGATGATGGAACCCAGGAGACACCTGCAGAGTAAGGGGAGGTTGACTGCTGAGTGATGGTATCATGGGAATAATAAAACCCACCTCAGCAATCTGTGGAACTATTCGTATTCTCATAGCAAATTTACTTGTTCTACTCTTCATGGCAAGTGGTTTATAAATCTTGCAATTTGTCTCAGAGCCATTCAGGCTTTTGTGGCCTTTCTGTGCCAGAACTACTGGCAGGGAAGTTTCTAAAGGGGGATTGTTGAAGGGAATGGTGACAATTGGTGGCTCTTGTCTCCCTGTAGCCCAGGGTATCGGTGGGTAGTCCCCCAACTTTTGAACCTGTAAACAGCCAAATATGAGAAGGGGCTAGTGACCATGAGAAGTGTAGAGACTGAGCAAATATTATAGTTCTCTGTGATTAAATCAAACTCTCAACCAAGTTCATTGACACATTTACAATTACTTGTGTATAGGATTCTGCTGCATAGTATTGAGACGTAAATGTTCTGCAGTTAATGAAAATGACTACAATGGTTATTATTTTTACATGGTCAAACCAGTTTTTCTCATTTCGTTTTGACAGTTTTCAAATCTTTTCATACAACTAGTATCAATCCTGATCATTTTCCCTGGTGTCGCTTAGACTACATTCTGTTTAACCATCATCGCACAGACACTTCCATGAGGTAAAAATCCAAAGCCTAGCTCATTGACATTTGCCGTGTCTTACCACCCCTTCTCCAAAGGAAGACTCAAGGCTGAGGATCTCCTGTTTTACCTCTGTGCTGCTGCCCCATTAATCCTTCACACAAACGTGCACATGCACACACACACACACACACACACACACACACACATACATACACACTCCTTGAAGAACTCCCAAGAAAAATGTCCTGGATGTTGTAAGACATGAGTTGCATAAGGTCTGGGCCTTGAAGGAAAAAACATTGGCCTCCAGTAGAGCTTGAATGAGCTTGAGGCAGTACAGAAACAGAAAGGTCAAGGTGGCCACAGCATGGTGAATGAGGGGAGCATTGTGTACTCAGAGGCTGCAGAGGGCAGTGGGGACTATGTCACAAAGGCCTTGTAGCCATTGTGAAAAATTTGGGTCTTCTTTTAAGTGTGGTAGGAAACTATTGAAGATTTAAAATGGAGGAGTGACCTGACCCATGTAAGTTGTTAAAAGACCACTTTGATAGCATGTGGGATGAATTAGGGAAGTGAAGGCTCCAAGTAGATAGATTTTCACATAAGTCCAGGTGAGAGATTTTGTGGCTTGGACAAAGGTATTAGGAACAGATGTGAATACAGGTGCATGAGGTTAGGAAACAGTGTCAAGGTAGAGCTGAAGGTATTGCTGATGGATTTGGATGTGGGAATAGAGGCAAAGAGCCAAGGATGAGTTTTGGGCGTGAGCAGTGGGGGTGGATGATGACACCACTTATGAAGATGGGAAAATGAGCAAGGAAAATGGTGTGTGTGTGTGTGTGTGTGTGTGTGTGTGAGAGAGAGAGAGAGAGAGAGAGAGAGAGACAGACAGATAGACAGACAAACAGACAGACATGGGGATAAGAGAGAAGGGTAAGGGGCACTCCTTGGTCTGTGCTGTCCATGATAAGTTTGAGGCGCCTGTTAGATATCCAAGTAGACATGGCACACAGGCCATCTGCAGTCCAGGGAGAATTGAGAGCTGAAGAATGAATGTTCAGCAATTGAAGGCATATTGACAGTACGTAAAGCCGTGGGAGAGAGCACCAGCAGAGAGATAAGAGCCTTCCTGTGGTTCAGAGAATAAAGAGAGGCCTTAAAAAGTGACACTGTCCTAAGGAAAGCCTGGGAAGAGATGGATGTGGTTTTCATGTAGTCAATAAATATTTGTTACGTGCTATTCTAGAGGCTGGAGATACATCAGTGAGTAAAACAAGCACAAATCCCTGTCCTCATGGAGCTTTTGTTCTACTGAAGGGACACAGTCAATAAACAAAATGTAAACACATCTGGTGAGAAAGGCTATGAAGGAAACAAAAGCAAACAGTAGCAGGAGCGCTCAAATCGGGCAGCTTGGTGGTATATTTTAAATAGCATGGTCGAGAGAGAGCGGAAGATGGCGGCGTAGGAGGACGCTGGGCTCACCGCGCGTCCTGCTGATCACTTAGATTCCACCTACACCTGCCTAAATAAACCAGAAAACCACCAGAGGATTAGCAGAACGGAGTCGCCGGAGCCAAGCGCAGACGAGAGGCCCACGGAAGAGGGTAGGA